GCTACCACCATTCACCCGCTACCACCATTCACCCGCTACCACCATTCACCCGCTACCACCATTCACCCGCTACCACCATTCACCCGCTACCACCATTCACCCGCTACCCTGAGTTGCCAAGAAAGTCCCCCTAAGCGATTAAACGAGTCGCTGTAGTTGTCAATCACATGACGGCGAAAGGAGCTGTAAATGTTCGGATGCAGTATTCTAATAAGGCGACATAACTTAATTATGAAGTTATTCTTTTTCTTCGCACTCCGAACATTTCCTGTGAAGCTTCTTCCTGTTTATTAAAGTTATTCCACTCTTCCTAATGTGTTTTTTTTTCGTGTAAGCTTCTGCCGAAAAAGTTTCCGAAGAATAAAAAATTTCAAGATGTTAGTCAGAATTCGGCCAAGTGCTTGTTTATCAAATCTATCGTTAAGTTCAAGTGTTATTTTCTAGAGACTTCGATCAACGCTCCTCGTTAGCGCTAATTGGCAGCAGGTTGTTTTTCAACGAACTTAGCCGTTATGGGCAAGGTTTAACCGAAGGGCATTGATAAAAACCGAGAACTCGTTCCCGCCTTATATTCTTCTAGATAGTGAATAATATTGTTGGAAAGAGGATGAGTATGAAATTCAACTTAGCTATAAGTCCCTATGCAATCTGATTGCCCCCCTTTAACGCATAATAACAGATCGAAATAGAGCTACTAAAAAATAATAAATCAAAGCTCTCCTCACTTGATTACTTTCTTTAGATCAAAAAAGTCAGAAATGCGTAGTTCCCCTCATAAGCATGCAAATAATTTACTTCTTCCGCTTTTGATATGTTATTACTTTACTGTTTCCTCGATATTGCTTACTTAACATGTAACTGGCTAACTACATCACATGTTATGAATTTATTTCTAATCCTCTTGTTATTATTTGTCGTATATTTTCAACCTATTTTCGGTTGCGTTTTTCCTTATCTTAGCCGAACGATCATTGCTCAATACGCTCGCAATCATTGGAAATATAAGTAAGTGATTGTCGACAAGCAGTCGTGGGAAGAACACGTGTTTTTAGAGCAACAAACCTTTGAGCGCTTGCCTCTATCACGCTGAGAATGTAACCAGACTCGGAAAGGCTCGATTATTTGCGATGGTTCGGAACGATAAATTAAGGTGCCTCAATGTAATGTTTCGTAGTCACCTGAGCTGCACAAAAAAGTTATAGGAAGATCTCGTTCTTCGACAGACCAGCATTAAGACCCTTGTTGGGAATAATGGGTGGCCTCTCAATAGCATTTGTGTCAGTGATCAACGTGCAATTTACAATACAGAGGCCCGATTTGAAATTGGGTGAATGCCATCGGAGGCCGATCAATGGCCGTCGGTGTGGTCGGTTTTCCTCGAGATACGCGTGGTAATTCCAATGTTGAGGTTAACGGGGGAAGAGTTGTTTGTTTACAATAATGACAATGAGACTNATATTTTTTCCTCATAAATGAATTAAAGAAAGTATTCGGTTATAGTGTATTGAGATGTTATCTTTCACTTTCATTCTCTCATTGCCTCACAATTACCTGCAAATATACTCTGTAGAATCTTTCGTAGTTACGAAGGATTTTGAAAACGCGACTTATTACATTCGTATTAAAATCGGTTTCTGAAATAAACGGGTAAAATTACAATAAACTATCATTGCATATATGATAATTAAGCTGAGTAAAATATTTTATTTCGACTATAAACACATCAAGATGTATAATCACGTAAATACAAGAACACGAGTTTTCAGTAAAACACGTACCAAATATTTCCCTCGACCAGGTAAATCGAGAGCCAGCATCGAACTGAATCCTATAAATAAATTAAAATCGACTATGGTTCTGCTGTGCATGATACACACGCACCAGGCGGACAATATTTTTAAAGGAACCTAATATTTAACATACCAAAAACAGCATTATTAACACCATTATATGGGTAACTAATTTCTTTTGCTGTACATGTAAATGATTCAGACTTGTTATTATCCACGCTCGGATTCATTTCTAGATACTACATTTGATTGCTTTGATTCCAACAGAAAAAGCGATAAATTCGAACTAATAATTAACAAACGTATAAAATTCACTATGAATAATTTATTGAAACTACTGGTTCTTGGTGCGGTCTTTGCTGCAGGTGAGTTTTGCATTATAAGTAGATTGCCTTCAGACGTCAGTCTTTTGAAGTTGCCTGTAAACAACAAATGACGGCGCTTTCAGTGTGCCTATTGTTGGTCTGAGATCTATGGTTTGTCTGAGATTGATCTCAGAACATGAGATAAAAATGCCTAGGAAGAGGTTTTGGAGAAACTCTTACTTTGTTTTATCGATTTACAGTTGAAACAATCACATGAAATTTCATATTTAATATGTTCATAAGGCGAAAGATTCTGATATTATGGCTCTAGTGCTAAAATGTTATTAAATTTCTACATAATCTTTACCTTAGTGAGCAGCGTTGAAGTTCGGCCGCACGCAGCAGGCAGCGAGCAGCACGAGAAAACTGTCCGCGAGGGCGACGCCGTACGCGACGAGAGCGTCGACAACTACATCACTATGGTGCTAGAAAACTTCGCTATTGCCATGCGCACTGGCATTCCAATTCTCGGAATTCCGATTCTCGATCCGTTCAACATCAGCAAGCTTGACCTGCCGACTATAAAGTGAGATGTCCCCTCGGTTCATGCCTTATTTGGAGTTAAGAATCGATCCATCTTTCAGGCTAGCTTAGTTATCAATCGTGTAGACCATTTCAGTTCAAATGTTACTATTATTTATCAGTTTCTCTGCGATTTTGCGTCAATTGTGTTAATATGACAGCGCTTCACGTCTATTTAGATGTATCATACGTTGTCATGTACGTTCAGAAATGAAATGCGACGTAATGTTTCACTTATATTTGCCAAAGCTTTGATTTAATTGGCTCATGAAAGTTTGTTCACGTTGTAAAATATAGCCTTTTGTTAAAGTTTTTCGATCAAGTGATTGTGTCGCAGAGTTCCATACCTAAGGTAACTGATGGATGATATTTGACCTGCACAGAGAGATGAGATCCACCTTCGTCATATCTTGAATTTTTTCTAATCCAATTCATTAACTGAAGATTGTCTTCAAGTCATGTTGATAACATGAGAGTTCCAATCCTTGCTTATACACTCCCAATTCTGTAAACTTTTAAGCTTTTTGAAACAGATTTGGTACTTGCGAACTTCTTTTTATGAACAGTAATGTAACATGCGAACTTCTCTTTTATGAACAGTATTGTAACTTGTGAATTATCTGAGGTATTGTTTAAAATCTCAGCACGTCCATGCTGAGGCTTGAGGCCAACGCTTCAGACTTGTCCGTGAGTGACACGTCATCCTACGTGCCCACGTACGTGCATGTCGACTTCGAGACAAACGCCATGTACCTGAACCTGCACTTCCTGGACATCAGAGTGAGCATCGTTGAACTTTACGGCGCTCAATATCATAATCGTAGAATGCGCTCTAATTACGCACCTGCAACAATATGAGTAGTTATCGTAATGCTTTTTATATTCCACATCACGCATCGTTAGATCTGAGGAGGCTTGTTACAAAATATGTTCAATATAATATCAGTGCATTCCTGCTGTAGGAAACCCCCGTAAAGGGTTCCTAATTGTCTTTTTGAGACTAGTGTTTAGTATTAACGTGATATCAATGGAGCTCCCATTCTATGAATATAACACACTTCCTTTTATTAAGTGCTAAACTCGCTTTAGATTGATTTGCTTAGCGCCAAAATTTGTGTTTTTGATCGAACGCAAATGTTTTCTTTACCTTAAATTATTAATATTACGTTATGATAGCATTATGTTTGGTACATAGAAGTACAGGCTCAGCCACATTACAAATAACATTTTACAGAACTCCTCAAATAATTTGTAGGAAGCCAATTCTTTCCTGTTACTAATTCAAGAAAGGATGTCCAACTGTGCATAGTATTCACCATGAAATTGTAAAATTCGGAGCCGCCCAAAAACCTACACATCCAAAAACTTATCTAATATATTTTTGTCAAAGTTTGTGTGCGGGTCTGTTTGTGTTTGAGGCACGGAGCGGAAATGTTTAGTTTTTTTTTGCTCGTATCCACTGTAGTTTGCATGCCAATTTGTATTACCTGAATCTGAAATTTTATTTCTAGTTGGGGAATAGTGAAGGCATTGCAAAGCTGGGAGGAAAATTTTGGATCAAATTGAAATTAGATTTTGTTAATTGGTATATCTATATTTAATTTTGAAAACAACGGAATTTTTTCGGCTATTTTGACATGGGAGACAAATGAGAGTTTCATAGGTTCTACCGGTATATGCATAATGTGGGTTTCAGAGATTCTTTCTTAAATTAGCACATATTATCTTTATCAGCATTTACGGAATTCAGGATAACGGAACTCATCAAACACAGAAATTATGGATCACGGACTAGCCTTACTGTTGAAATTGAGGTGCAAACACTCTACTTTTTGTCAATAATATAACTCATATCAGCATTGTTATTATTAAGAAATGAATATTTTACATCACCCATTATTCCACAATATAATTTTCACTCACAATAGGTATTTCGTTACGAAAAAGGTGATGCCTTTATCCCAAGAGACACTCAAGCTTATTACTTCTGCCGATATCAAAATTAACAATAAATATTCATTAACAAATAATCCTTATTTCCACAGCATTTTCATAGTGTAGGCGATCGCCTCTGCTAGCAGAGGCTGGACATAGGCTATGCATGTCCTGTGTGTAGTAGTCCTTGTCTGATATATATTTGTCAAAATTTGTGCGCGTGTCTGTTTGGGTGCTTGAAGTATAGTTTTTTGCTATTTTGGAAATGTATAGGTAGTTTGCAGGCCTAGGTATAACATGGAGCTGAAATTTTACTCTCAGTTGGCGAATAGTTAAGGCATTGCTAAACTGGGAGGAAGAAAATTTATAAAAATTGAAATTTGATTTTCCAATTAGTGTATGCATATTTAATTTTTAAAGGAACGGAATTTTTTCAGCTATTTTTATATTTGAGACAAACGAGAGTTCTATATGATCTATGCATAATATGGGCTTGAAAGATTCTTTCTTAAATTAGCACACATATTCTTTATTTTCATTTACGGGATTCTGGATATCGGGATTCGTAAAATACAGGAATTATGGATTTAAGAAAACCATTTATCTCGGGAGACCATCAATATTATTACTTTTGTTGATACCACAATTAGTAATAAATATTCATTAACAAATAATCCTTATTTCCCCTAAATACTGAATGCAGGTGGACGGTGACTATTGGTGCGATGGCATGGCGGCTGTGATCTTCCCCGTCTTCGGGGACGGCTTCTTCTACATCAACATCATGTCCATCGACTCCAGTGGACTGGGCGCCGTCATCATCACCGAGGACGACCACCTACAGGTCGGACCATACTACCTTAAGATCCTCCCAGGTATCGCATTCCCAGAGCTCGTTTAGGGACTTCAAAACATGGCTATGCTTGAAGCAAACTAACCTAACCTAACCTAACCTAATCTAACCTAACCTAACCGCACCACCTTTTGACGGCTACCAAACGCCGCCCACCAGCAACATGGAGTAAGCTGAGCTTACTAAAGCTCGAACCAACGGCTTGCTCCTCGAATCTCGGTGCAGTGCACTGCGCTGCAGTGAACAACGCAAGGCTATGCTTAACTTGATGCACACAACCTTAATTACTTTGAATGTAGAGGAAAGTGGTTTTGGACTAAATCTTCTTTGATCGGATGCAAAGTAACATCATTTTTATACAAATGATATGACCTCTTTCATTTCCTGCATCAGATTACTTTTGTTGATATTAACTGAAAATATTCGTGACAACAACTATTGGACAACAAAGGTTCGACTACAGGCACATTAATTTAATACGGTCATAGGAAGTATTCTATCTCAAAGTGCATATGCAGATCACCGAGCTGTCCCTGGAGCTGGCGTACGACAGACTTGAGATCTACTTCGACAACTTCCTCGGCGGCGGTGACTTCGGGGAAGAGGTGAATCAGGCGATCAGCGTGCTCGCGGATACCATCGTACAAGAGGTACGTGTAATCGACAGGCTCTTAACACCCATTTTAATGTGTTTAAGATTACGCTCACTACTTCATTTCATGCAGTTAAAAATTTATCTGCTTGAAGCATTGATTTAATTAGAGACAGGCTAATTTATCTGCTTTCTCAAACACGCTTGTAGGCGTGTTTGAGAAAGTTAATTCTTTTGAAAAAGGTTTTCGATCAAATATTCAATTCATGACTTCTGACAATTGGTGAACATATAATTTCTTAATTGTCAAATAATCCTCTACAGAAATTAGTAATTTAAACTTAGATTTTATATACTATAACTCAGTATAAGAGCCAGCAGACCATCCATAGAGTGCTCATGTAGTAAAATACTATGAATAAATTGAATTGAATATTATTTCTTGATTCAGGAGGTTCCTTAGAAAACTGTAGTATATACAATAAAACCTTCCGCCAAGGCTAGTAAAGATCATTTAAATGTGTTTAAAATTCCTTCGAATAATTTTCAAAGGAATGAACTAACCCCAATTGGTATAAGATGGACATAGAAATTTAAATTGATTGAGCAGATCCTGCCGCTGCTGAACACGGCCATCATACCGGCGCTGGTGGTGTACATCAACGACGCTCTCATGCAGATCACAATCTCCGACATCATCGGCGGCGGCTCCGTTTAACAGACCAGCATTCAATTATACATCACTAAACGTGATGCCTTTTCCTATGTCAAACCATTCACACTGCAAATTATAAATATTACGTGTGGCCTTCATTTTTATCCTACCAGCATACAATTCCAATTATTCCAATACCAATCAGCACACACGTAAAATTTATATCTCTATACGTAACGCCTCCATTCTCTTCCAACCAGTGCCAGCGTATGATTTTATATCTCTAAGCGTATCGCCTCCATCCTCTTATAACAATCTTGAATCAATCAATCGCCTCCATAAGCGGATAACAATACGTTTATACGACGAGGCTGTCTCCTTGTCCAAACACTGAAGCACCTGCTATATTTTGTTGTCAATGGGAAACGTCTCATATTCCTCGGCAGTGCCGAAGTATTTAGTCTCGATAGGTAACTAATCTCCTGATTAAAGAAAGAAGAGAAGATATACTTTCATATTGTTTGTAGATTTATTAAATATAAACTTCAATCTTGCACACTTCGATTTCAGTGAGGGTAATCCGTTTGAAGTTACTTATATTTATTCTTGGGTAATAACTATCACGAATCGATGGCTTAGAAAATAAAGTTTTGACTTGCACAAGTAAATATAGATTCATTTAGTGTTTATAATAACTGTTAAGATTACAGCACTTAAATAATTTTAAAATTCGAAACAGATTCTGATGCGAGCTATGAATGAAAAAACTTTGTTTATTACAGAAAACGAAAGAATTCGATGAAATTTGCCCTTGTCAAGCTTGTCTGCAGAGCCCTGATCTCGATGAAACGTGCCCTTGACAGGTCGGACTGAAAAGTTCTGATCTCGATGAAACGTGTCCCTGACGTTCCTTTCGGGAATCAAGCTCTCGGAATTGTGAGCAGTATTTGCATGGTTTAGAAGTTAGGGTATGAAGAATACTTTAAAAGCAAATTACGATATTTTACGTAAACTTAGCACTTGAGGAACGCATGAAATCAAATCGGAAATCAAATTTTATTTATACAATTATCATCTTATGTTTACAGCATTTTGCGTAAAATAAAAAATTTGGCATAACGAAGAACTTAATTGAGCTAATTTCAATCCAGGGAATCGATTTACAATATAATTATTCTGACAATTTTTATCACTTACGAGTCAATTAGCTAAATCTATTTTACACTTATTAACACCGTGTTCCAAACAGTCGAAAACACAGTCAAATAAAACTTTTCTTATAACTGGCTTAGAAAAACTACAGCAGATAATCAGCTCATTCGAGTATTATAGAATGTTCAAAGAATAAAGGTGAGCCAATGTGCCAAGTTTTTCTTGAGAACCACTAGGCGTATTGTACTGGAAAAGTTGTCAATGATTAAAAGGAGTGATTTCTCCTTCACCATGCAACTCCATCAATCGGGTTCAGACACATTTTTCATTTACTCTGATCATATACTGCGGTCATTACCATCGTATGAGTCTACGTGAAAACGTCGTCGTCAAGGTCGATAATATCGGATTCTTCCGTAAGAGTCAACAGAGATTTTCTCTCTTGTTTTAGCGGTAGTTCATCCCTGCATTTTTCATTTGGAAACCCTTCACGTGGTGTACTTTCTTCAGCTTGTCCTCCACATCCGATACCATCTAGTTTCCCCCTAACTTGTGATGCTGCGACGCTGCCACTCATCATTTGTTGCTGTTCATCTCGTGCCTTCATGGAATCTTGTCGTGTGTCTTCATTTTTCTCCTGTTGTCCTTTATTTAGTGCCTTTGACTTTGCGGGCAACACGATGCCCTCGCCGCCATCAGTTGATTTCTTCGGCCCCTCTGCATGACGAGTATCAATACGCGGGAAGCTGAACATGGCGTCAGCGTCCTCGCCGTCACAGCGAGCGCCGGAGTTAGGGATCAATGAAATCGTTTCTTGAATTGTCCTGATGCTGGAACGAAGGTTAATTATCTCAAAGAATTTCTCTTGCAACATAGAATATAAATTTGTGAAAAGGAGCTTCTATTTAATTACTGGTAAATAGAATGGATGCATTGATTGAATCTGTTGGCAAGTAAATGGTAACGGGCACGAGAGGAAAGAAAAGGAAGCGTACGGGCTGCTCAACGACGGCTGCTCAAAGCATTTCAAGGGAAAAAATTTATCAAGTTAAAGTTTCAGCGAATAACAATAATATTATGAACTTGATTCATGAATAGAATTTTCCTAACTTCTGTAATTATTACTTCAGGTAAATGAGTTGAAGGAAAAAATTGCAGAATGTTTTTTTTTTAATTTTAGCCATGTTAGCTATCTTTCTAAGTAAATTATTTTATCCAATCAGCGTTAGAAGTTCAATGACTTCAAATTTTTTTAGACGTTTATATCTATATGAGTATAACCGATTTTGGTGAACAAAATGGGAATTATCAATAGAAAATAAAATGTTCTTATACCCAGATCGCAAATAAGAGTACACAGGAACTCTGTAGCTGCTCCTTATTGTGCACATTTGGTGCATCGAATTTAATTTCAAAAGAAGTTGCCCTCTCACGAACTCGCCTACCTAGAACAAAGTTGATGGCCTTAGCGACGTAGGACGTGGATGATGTTAAACTTACGTATGTACCCCCTAAAACAAAGTGACGTACAAAGTTATTTAAAATAACCAAGCCAACCGCAAGAATGTCATAGTTACAAATCCCACCTTGATGATCGCGACGAAGTGCCACGCCCACTGGAAGTTCTGCAGGACGAGTCGCTGTTCAGCTTCTTGGCGTTGCGCACGAAGCTCGCCGTTTGAGCGCCCGGCGTGACGACGTGGTTAGGGTGTGTGGCGGCCGACAGACTCATGCGTAAAGTGCCGTTCCTCCTGAAGCCGATGCGTGAGTTTTGGCGCTGCACTTTATCCATCTGACGCTCCAGAGTGCTCCGACAGCACGGCGGAGATATGGAATGAATCACTCTGTCAAATTGAAGCGTGGGTGTTAATATTTTATTTGTTTTACTGTTAATATGGTTAATTGTTGCAGGTTTAGTCGGCGTTTCATGTGATGATGGAAGTGATGAATGATGGCACACGAATAAGGTTGCGAATAGGTTCAAGCATGTGTAGAAAACGCGACTAATAACTTACCATTTTGAGTAAAAGTGTAGGTAGCATAATTGTGACAAGGCTTTGTGACTCAAGTATTTTTATCTATGGATGAAAAATTGTTGAAGGTTTTGATGAATTTGAAACACTCATTTCATTCTTCAGAGCTCAAGGAAGTTTGTCATGACCAGCGGTTATCGTCTCTCGTTATTTAGTCCTCATTCGAACTATTCAATTAAAATTTTAGATTAAACTTTTGAATAATTTATTTATTAGTTACGCAAGTCGCAGTTAATTTGAAGGAAAAATGGATTGAGTAAAGTCATAAAAATTAAAAGGCACGATATACAGGCAGTGACAGTGAGAGCGGAGTTAAGACGATGCAGTTTAAGCTAGAGACCGATGATTGCAGTTTAACACGTTCAACCGTACAATTCGGTCTCAATTTATGAGCAATTCGAACTTCCCAGAAATTAATATTCTATGTCATTTTAGACGGTCCGGTGCACCGCATCCAAATGCCGGTTGAGCATCTCTAAATTTCCAGAATTGCATTTTTAAATCTTGCTAGCATTGCATTCATAATTATTCTGTACAACCAATATAGCTTCTCTTTTGCTTTCGTAATTCTCATGGGCATTTATTTTTTTAAAACCTGTGTACATCGTTGCTTTGCACAACCTTTTCATTGAACACATCAATATAGCACAGCACCAAATTATTCCATATTGTGACACTTTACGGCCGTAAACACTTTCTCAACTCGAAAGACTCGAGCTATCGAGTCCTTCTCACCCATCGCTTCATCAAAGCCAAACATTCAGAGTTAAAAATAAGATTTTATCGTGGCTAGATGATCACAATTTGAATCGCTCTGGCATCGGCACGAGAGTGAGGCCGAGGACAACATTACTGTCGCTCACTCACTTCATCATGGCCACCCTGAAGGCAGGGTTGAGCCAGAACACAAGAGTGAGGCCGAGGACAACATTACTGTCGCTCACTCACTTCATCATGGCCACCCTGAAGGCAGGGTTGAGCCAGAACACAAGAGTGAGGCCGAGGACAACATTACTGTCGCTCACTCACTTCATCATGGCCACCCTGAAGGCCGGGTTGAGCCAGAACACAAAAGTGACGCGGAGGACAACATTACTGTCGCTCACTCACTTCATCATGGCCACCCTGAAGGCCGGGTTGAGCCAGACCGGGTTGAGCCAGGACACAAGAGTGACGCCGAGGACAACATTATTATCGCTCACTCACTTCATCATGGCCACCCTGAAGGCCGGGTTGAGCCAGAACACAAGAGTGACGCCGAGGACGGTGTGCAGCATGGCGAACCAGTAGAATGTAATCCAAATGTAGTGAAGCCCATTCATATACATGAGCGCGGGGTTGAATTCTAGCATCACCTAGAAAATATAAATATATGTCACTGCTGCCAGAATGAGTCTTTTTTCAATGTATTTTCCTCGACATTTAATTGAAGTTAACCAACAGTTATTTCACAATTTTAGTTAATACAGTGTATTGGTAAATAAAATAATTTGCAACAATTTAATTCACTTCAAATTTACCACTATCCGAAAATTTTGTGGGTTTTGAAACGATTTGCATGATTAACCGCCTGAGCCTTCGTTTTTTCTAAATAAACTCGAGAAAATTTTCACGAAACAATTTTCGTAGTTATAGGGACCAAAGAATTTTTGTTGTATTTTATTTAAATAATCCGGGAATAGAATGCATGATCAGACATATTGAACCACGATGGTGCTCTGACGAATTGATGAAGTAATTTTGTGCTCTCGAAATGAAGATATTATTCGAAATTCCATATTAACCAGAACGTTTCAAGTCCCGCTCTATCAGAGATAGCGTCTCCAAGTCCGAGACTACTACTAGTCATCAGCGTTGATTATTCACCACAGCATTGATTAGCGCGTGACTCCGTTGCGCTGCTAATAATTAGCACCAGGCTTCGATGTTAATCATTAGCACCAGGCTTCTATGCTAATCATTAGCACCAGGCTTTGATGCTAATCATTAGCACCAGGCTTCTATGCTAATCATTAGCACCAGGCTTCTATGCTAATCATTAGCACCAGGCATCGATGCTAATCATTAGCACCAGGCTTCTATGCTAATCATTAGCACCAGGCTTCGATGCTAATCATTAGCACCAAGCTTCTATGCTAATCATTAGCACCAGGCTTCGATGTTAATCATTCACACGTCGTCAATCTGTTCGGTGCATTACAGCAAGCGGAGCTCCCAGACGCACCTAGACTTCATAATTACAATCTGCTGCCTTGATCATATTAATTAGCCTTAATTAATTTAGATCATTCGATCGCTGTCAATTTGTGGACTAATTCTAATCATGCCAACTCTGATCGCTCCAGTTCTCATCATTTCAGTTCACTCAAGTTCCGACACACGCGACAGAACATCCAATATATTTTTTCACAGGGCCCGGTTTCAAACACACTCTCCACAAATATATATATTAGATTACCAATAAACTATTCACGTGGCTTTTTTACTATGAAGACAACTGCTTAATAGAATGATATTTTATTGGCAGTGCAGGCCTTACCATGAGTATGTTGAAGGGGAGCCAGCACAGCGAGTAGACCAGCACCACCGTCACCGACATGCGGATCATCTGTGACAACCAGAGATGGTCTTTGATTTGTATTAGGCTAGTCTCTGCTTCGTATAAGGCTAGTCTCTGCTCTGTATTAGGCTAATATCTGCTTTCTGTTAGGCTAGTCTCTGCTTTGTATTGGGCTGGTATCGGTTTTGTATTAGGCTAGTCTCACTATCTATTAGGCAAGTCTCTGATTTGTATTAGGCTTGTCTTTGGTTTGTGTAAGGCTAGTCCCTGATTTGTTCAGGATCATCCACGGAATTTTCTTGTTTTGTATTTCGCACCAAGCCGCCAGATGTTGTAGGAAAAGGGCGTGGATCATTTATATGAAAGGCAAGGTCGTGTAGTTTTGTGTTCCTCCTAGTCAGTTGGCACTAAGCATTGGACAAGTGAGCAGCATGCGTTTGCTGTGTGCTCTTCAAATGGCCATCCTATCATCACTACTCAACGAGCATTCAGTACTCGTCCTTCAGGTCGGGTTTCTGATCGGAGATCGATTGTTGCGTGGTTGAACACATTTAGGGCAAGTTATCTTAAATCAATTGTTTACAATGACTGTCCAAGGATCCTACCTCATTTGAAGAACAACATACGCCAAGTCATCGCCAACATACCCGTCAATATTCTTCAGTTGGTTGAACGGAACTTCAGAAATGAACGAACTGAATGCATTGACAATGGGGGCGGTCATTTATTCGATGTCATCTTCAATACTAAGTGATAAAAAATTTCTGGTAATGTATTTTTTCAATAAACTTGTTATTATAATGATATCTCTACTAGTTCTTTTTAATTGAGCTTTCAAATCAGGAAATTTCCGTGAATCACCCTATATTAGGCTAGTCTTTGCTTTGTATTGAGCTAGTCTCTGCTTTGTATTAGGCTTGTCTGTTTGCATTAGGCTTGCCTGCTTAAAAGATCGGGTTCCAAAGGCCGGATCCCTTGTGAATCAAGTCACGAAAAGTTCAAGAATCGGCAACAGGCCATGGGCCTATTTCTTCAGCGCCGACACTTCTATTCTATTCTAATACTAAGTGATAAAAAATTTCTGGTAATGTATTTTTCAATAAACTTGTTATTATAATGATATCGCTACTACAAGTTCTTTTTAATTAAGCTTTCAAATCAGGAAATTTCCGTGAATCACCCTATATTAGGCTAGTCTTTGCTTTGTATTGAGCTAGTCTCTGCTTTGTATTAGGCTTGTCTGCTTTGTATTAGGCTTGTCTGCTTTGTATTAGGATTATCTCAGCTTTGTATTTGGCTAGTCTCTGCTGTAGTCTTTGTAGTCTAGGTGCTTTACTATTACTATTAGTCTAGTCTTTATTAGTCTACCATTAGTCTAGTCTTTAGCTACTATTAATCTAGTCTTTGCCAGGTACTGAGCTAGTATCTGTTCAAAATTGGGGTTAAGATAACGGGCACAATCTCATTGAATGAAAAGGAGGAGCATTTCTAGCCTTATGACAATAATTATTGAACGATAATTCTCAGATATAATTTTCAGGTCACAGCGCAATTTCAAGACCCGTTCACGCAACAGGAGTGGCTTCTCACCACAAGATTATCACACTCCGCGTTGTCGCGTGCCGAGCATCGCTTGGTAAGATGTCGTGCTTGGAGCACGTCGATAACACAGGGGTAGTTTCTATGCATAGTTTGCGTCTCGGTAAACTTTACAGCGTCAAGGAAGTGGCGTGATCTAGACAAGACGTGTGATACGCTCGCGCAACTTCATCATCTCATGTTCATACAGCAAAAATTTGCTCGAGGTTTATCTCAATTTAATGTAAAAATTTGGATTCACTAACTTAAATCATTTACTTGACAGGAAATCGGAAGATCATCTTTAACTCTGCATTGAGACTTATTTTGCCCCTGTCGTGAAGTTCTCAGCAATTGATATTGGAGAGCATTAAAACTCTATGTTAGAAGTTTGGACATTGTTTAAATAACTTCAATGGAATCGTGGAAGTGTTAGTTCCTGTGGCCGTCAACAACTCGTGCTGAGCAATTGAAGAGAAAAATGTAAGGACGATGTCACGAATCTCAGATCAAATTAATCCCAATCAAACCTGAGTACTGTCGAACTCACTGCCTAATTTATATAAATTACATCCATCTTCAAGGATCAAAAGAATTATATAGCAGCTCTGAATAATACCTCCTACCAGTGATAAATTGCTCTCGTCAATTCTTGTACGAAATTAATAATTACAGAGACTGAGCGCACCACCGTATCGTCGTGGACAATCGCTGCTCTTGGTGGGAAACTTGAGGAGAAATGCAACCCCGCGATTATGCCAATTTCCGAGGAGGAACGTATAGGAGGAGGTATATACGCTTCCCTGTAGGAGCGTATCGGAGGAGGTACATATACACTCCCTTAGAGGAACGTATAGGAGGAGGTATATACGCTTCCCTGTAGGAGCGTATCAGAGGAGGTACAGATACACTCCCTTGGAGGAACGTATAGGAGGAGGTATATACGCTCCCCTGGAATAGCGTATATACTGCACCTTAGTATAGGAGCGCAACTTTTTGGATGAGCTTATATATCTTCGTGGTGGAGCGAACCTTTTTCGAGGAGCGTTGCTTTGAGGCGGAGTGTTGCTCCGTGGAGGAGTGTTCCGTCGTCTTGGTGCGTACCTTAGAAAAGAAGTTTTTCTTCCCAGGCTGAGTCACCGCGAACCCAAAGCGCTCTGCTGTAACTGTCTGTGTGGGAGAAGGCTGGAAAAGTAATTTCTGTACATTAAATAAATAATAATTTTCACACGGCAAGGATTTGAATTTTTTGTGGTTAATGAACTGTGAGCGGTTTGATCCTCACTAGAATTACGACACTAATATTCTATTCAGACATCTGATAGACAAGTGATTTAAATAATTTATGTATTCATGAGTAACAATCAGTTTTCTTCATTAATCGTCAGGTACCATGAGATATTATGCGCATTTTTTAATTGAAACTTCTCCAATAAAATAGTAATAGCTGATATATCTGCAAATAAAAATATAAAAATAATATGTTACGGCGATATGCTATGCAAGCTTCCAATAGCAAGACGAAGTTTTCGCAACTGTATTTCATATTGCCCACTAGTTACCTGACTGATGTAATGACATGTATAGGTACTCACAGCAACGCAAGTCACGTGTGTGGTGATGCTGGTATGCAAGATATATAACATTCGAGGTCAGGAACTCACCGTAAATTTCTGGGAGCTCCTCCTTATGATCCACCAGATCCTGCAATGAGAAAATAGCACAAAATTCTCTATGTAGAATAAATAGACGTCCAATTTTCAATTATGTCAGAAAAGGACTTATATCATCGAAATCGAATGAGTTATTTTTGGTGTTTATTTCAAATTCCTATTAAACGTATTTTAACATCCAATGCATCGCTATGTCATTACGTGTTTCAACATCAAGTGCAGCCAGCCACGCTATGTCACTTCAGATTTCAATGTCAAAAGCAGCTATGGAACATCACTTCATATTTCAGCATCAAGAGCAGCTACGCTATGTTACTTCGTATTTCGACATCAAGAGCAATATGCTGTCATGATCATGAAGACGCAAGCAAGTGCCCGGAATATTAATAGAATGTTTACCGCATATCATGCATTAATAAAATGATATGTCCATAACCAAGTTTCCTGCGCACAAGAATCAAAGGACATCCTCGCAAAGAATGGTTCCATCTCAATTGCAATTGCATTGTTTCCGAGATCAATAAACTCTCGACTGTGCAATTCATGCATCAACCGCCGTTCAACTTCTGAACATACAGATTAAAAATAAAATACATTTTAGAATTCATTCAAAATTAGCTTTATTTATTTATTTCTCAACTAGCTTCATTATTATTCATATTTACATGAGAATAATGCTGAGACTTTTTTTTGCATGGAAATTAAAGTTAAAATTTAATTGCCAATCAGGATTTGCAAACTAAGCAAACTTGAGCAAATCAAGAAGTTCCCTTAGATTTTTTCGCGAGGCTGCAAGTTCTTGCAGTAAAAACCAATGTTTTGGTAGCGGCTCGGCCAGGGAAGTCGTTAACTGACTTTGACGTCGCCGCCGAACTCATAACAAAGAAAATGCACTCATCACCACCCACCTTCACCACACTATCACCATACTACTAGCACACCAAGACCACACCAACACTATACTAACAGAAGCGTTTGACATAATGATTGTGGATTTGATAAACTATGTGCACGTTTTGCACGTTTACAAGCATCAATGACGAGCTGAACGCAAGCACTAACAGCACGGGAAGCTGGTAAGAATATGCATACATTAGAAGTTGCACGTACCTGCAGTACGTGAATATCATGGTGGTGACAGGCAGGAAGTAGTGCAAGACGACTATGGCGATAGAGTATATCTGTCGGAGATCATCACGCGGCCAATATTCCGTGCAGACTGGCAGATTGTAGTGGCCGTGGTAAAAAGACTGATCTGTCGATGTGAGATGAACGTTAAAATTAAGAATTTTAGCCATTCAACGTTTCCATAGCTCTTGTTTCAATGCTTATATTTTAAAAAGTTAAAACAGCTTTAACATTACCTTGCGTCTCCACGAATCTTTTGTCAACAGCTAAAAGATTTTATTTAAACATTACAGCACTATAAATTGGACAATGTTAACTTGTCTCTAAAAAATTTATTGTGATGACCTCAGGTCATCAAATGTATTGTGATGACCGCACCTCGGACGGACATCACAACAGGCACGAAAACGTCATACGAACGCTTCAGCCAAAAGGCCGTCAGGCGCAACATTCTGATCCGCGGTCTGGATAGGCCGGACCGTAAGCGGACACTGAGGTCAGGCCATCGCGGTCCGGAAATTACACGTCTGGCTTCCGTATGGCGTCCGTGTCAGGAGAAATAGCGGCGGTTTGTTGAGTGTAAACTATTGCGAATCTTTTACGGACGAGGCTTGTACAAATATGTTCAGATAATTAGAAACTTTGAGGCTACAATGACGGTCTCGCATGATAGTGATCTGACTGACAATGATAAATTTGACTTCAATGGTTTAGCATTTTAGACCAAGATGGGGCATTAAAATTTTTAAGCCAGTGACAAGTCATATAAATCTGCGTCATAGTGTTGTAAAATAGGAAGACAGTTTTGAGCCAAAAATATATACATCAAAATTTCTAAAAAATGTAACTCAGTACTCACTGCAGTGAGTGACAGAGAGCGCATTTTCTCGTCGACGAAAACGTGGTCACGGACGGACAGACGGGCAGACATACAGACAGACAGACAGACGGACATGACGAGCACAATAGTGCATTTTTTCCATAAATGAGAAAATGCGCTAAAAAGGCGTTAAATGTGATGGCAACACGAATTTGGCTGTAATTAAAGTGTTAGATGAAATATAAATAGTTTGTTCGTTGGTTCTAATGAGAACAGTGAAACCGTCCACTTCATTTATTGAGTACCTAAACTCGATACGAACAATTTATTTTTGTTAGGCATTATTCTCACCTTTCATTGGTCTTAATTAGATCAATAATTATACCAATTAATCAGCCGGCCCTGAATATCAAGTTCAATTCATTTTCGTAATCTAGTTCTGCCGCAACAACGTAGTTTATGCACGCAAAATGTCTGATTTTGCCTGATGAGTTCAGTTCTCAAAATAACAACAGTATTCAGACAACAAATTTAATCACCAACGAGCAAATCCCATCATAAAATAAGGAATTCGTAGGTATGCCAATAGACTGGTATTCCAGTGGATATAAAATAAAGGTAGGAACATGTCGGTGTTGTTCCAGAACTTTACAGCCCTTCGACCACATGGAGAAATTTACAATTTTTATCCTTAATGAATAATAATGCATCATCGGTATTTGATAACATTTAATAATATCCATTAAATTACTCCTAGCTCTCTTATTTACTGTGTTTATAAAATGTCGGTAGTGACAACTTTGAGTTGCGTGAAGTTAGGGTTGCTTTTCGAACTTGTGTAGTGGGAATCTGTTTTCAATAAGGCATCATTAATTCTGTGTATGCGACTCGCTCTCCGCATTCATCAGAAAAGCAAATGTCTACTGGAGCATCAGTATGTAGAATTTCTCGTCATAACTTTCACCCTCAACGTTTCCCTGAGTTTTTTTGTCGAGCTGGTTCTTAATTTTTTGAGTGCATTGACAAACTTCAAATATCTACGAAGTCAGGCCATCAAGGTTAAAAGGCTGCAAAAGAAGATGGCCTTTGGTTATTTTTTTTTGTGAAATTATAAATCGTTACTCTTAGCCGTTCCTGCATCCAAATTAATGATCTTATTGACTGCCGCTTCCAAATTTTTTTATTGCGGCCGGCCACGTTTTAAGTGGAGCTAATGAGAGGATGTAATTAATTAGCGATGACATGATGGGCCATAATATACGTTGGTGGCTGCTCTGGAAATATTTAGCTTTCGAACGCAAAGCAACCAATTAGTTACTGCATCTGAATTTCTGTTAGATAAAGAGTGCGTTTTTATCTTACTAACAAGACTTCATTATAATTATCGTTAAAAAATGTATTTCATTACTCACTTTTATCGTAGTAGATGAGGTCGGAGTGAACGGCGACGGGCACGCACGTGAGGAGAGCCATGAGCCACACGATGGCGATGACGACCCACGCCTGGTGACGGCCCAGGCCTGATGGCAGCCGCAGTGGGTAGATGATGGCCATGTAGCGGTCCAGCGAGATGGCCACGAGTGAGTACGCCGACACGAACACCGACACCGCCTGCCCGCCCGGCGCATTGAAAGGTAGTGTATGAAGTTTTATGTACAGGTACATTGACACCGCCTGCCCGCCCGGCGCATTGAAAAGGAGTGTATGAAGTTTTATGTACACGAAAACCGACACCACCTGCCCGCCCGGCGCATTGAAAGATTGTGCTTAAAATTGTATGTACAGGTACAGTGGCAACGCCTGGTCGCCCGGCGCGTTGAAAGGGTATGTTTAAAGTTTTATGTACAGGTACATTGACAATGCCTGGCCGCCCGCAGCATTGAAATAGAGTGTTAGCAGTTGTGTTTATAGAAACATCGACATCTTCTGACTGACAGGAGAATAAAGTTAGTTGTTTAGGAAAAATCAAGACCATCATTGTTGCAATGAATGCTGAGGGTAATATGAACAATTCACTTACGCGTCATAAAAACTATCATGTGCATTGTTTTGCGCAGTGGTGAATAAGATGAAATATGAGTACGAAACACGATCGAACATATCTTTTACCAAAAAAGAATAACTTTTTATTAACCGCATCGTATAGGATCTGCAGCATGTAACAACTCGCACATTTACCCAGGGGTGTTTGAAGAAGGCGGCCTGGAATAAGCCAACGCCTGTCAATTTGCCCTGCCAGACCCAGGCAGAACGATCTTTATCGCTGGTTCGAGCCACGGCAATATTGTCCTCACGCAAAGTCGCGCACCGCGACCAGAAAATTACCGAATAAAATGAGAGAAATGACTTGACCGCAACGTGTCTCGCCAGCACAACGGTCCTGCACGCTGTCTTCTAGACTTCTAGATTTTATTTTTAACTGGACGCTTAGCTTTTATGTTATTCATTTCATTATATTAGAAAATTACTGGTGAGACAGTATTTTCGTTAATTAACTTTCTGGTATTGTAATAAGAATAATTTGCAGTTTACTAAGGCGCAAAATGCGACTAAGAATCGATGTAAGTGCGTGGGAAATTTTCCATATGTAGACTACGAAAAATTACATAGTAAAAAGATAATAGCAATCAATTATAACAAGAAGAAATTCTGTTATGTTCAACACTAATCAAGCCTCGTTTAATAGGATACTGTATTTTTAGTGCCAACGGAGATGTCTGAGAATTAGGGATGAATTATATGGGATTGATTAAACATTTGCAATATAAAAATTTCATACTATACGGAAATAAACTTCTACCTTGAATCCTTAAAAAATAAAACCGGCAAGATCTTACCTGAGAATATGACACGGCCACGCACGCAGCATGACCAAACGGCCAGTGCTGGACGACGACCTGCGAGACGAAGGTGGCCGGTACACAGAGTATCACCATCAAAAAGTCGCTCACCGCCAGGTTCGAAAGGAAGAGGAACATGGCCGACATATTCGGACTGCATTCTTTACGATATTTGACCCCAGCGATGATAGCAATAAGGTTTCCCAGGGTCCCGAACACGAAAATGAAACCGAAAAGCACCCAAAATAGGGCAAGCGGGTGATATCGGCTTGGCATACATGTTTGATCTGCGAAAATTTCATCTGGATCTTCTGTGCAAAAGTCGCATATAAAACCGATCTGATCGTTAGTAGACAAATCTTCAATTTCGGAATAGCTTTTAAACAATTGGCGATAACACTCGTGGAATATTTGTGGGTAATTTTTCAAATGCTGTGTCGACACCGCTGGATCATTGTCAGCCGAAAAATCGTTCATTGTGACATCGTAATAATGGTTGGCGGGGTCAAACGTGGTCGAGTTTGACCATGAGTCATTTAATTCCATTGTCTTTTGTTTCTTTTGAAGAATTTTCTAAAGTGATCGTATGCAGGATCAAGCCTACGTTAAAAAGTTAAAAGGCTTGTGGAACGGAATAATGTGGTGTGTGGGTACATTCTTCATTGGAAAAGTTGTCTGCTTCAAACGGTGAGAGCGAATTCGTTTCTTCACATTTTCGTTTCGAATGATTTGTTTCAGGTGAAAAGGCATAGGCTTCAACTGGTTCAAACTAACTCGGTGATCTCAATTGTGCACAGTCTTGTTTAGAACACTCGTAAGCCATGCATTTGTGCTTTTGAAAAGTCCCATATTTAGTTAGACAATTTAGTCTTATCACGATGGAGGCAGGAGGCAATGATTTAATAGAAAAACTGGAATAAATTCTCGAATTTCATATAACTGTAGTAATTAAAAATCCTCACAGATAATCGGCGTCCAGAGTGCAATTGCTGAAATATATTCCCAGGGAGGAGCATTATTTAAGAAACACGCGTAGTGAACACATCTAACAACGTAATGACCCTCGAAAGATACCGAGACTACAGTAAATGTCACAGAGAACTCTCTGCTTGGACACTGCTTTCCCCAAACTTTTCTTTTTCAATAATGTGTATGATATATGCGCATTACAAAATGCTTTAATAGAAGTCTTTCAAACATTAAATGACATATAAAAATCAAAACCTGATTTTAATATAAAAATCAAAACCTGATTTTAATATAAAAATCAAAACCTGATTTTAAATCGAAACTAATTTTATATACTTACAGAAAAAAATAAACATTGCTACGCACGAGCAACTAACAAAAATTAGAAAAGTCTATACCTCATGTTCAAAATTCTTTAGTGTTGAACGTCTTTTCAGCTCACATATTTCTATACCTGGCCGTCCTAAACTTAGCCGCGAATAATCACGTGGTAACGAAATGAAATAAATATTTGATGGAAAAAACTTGTTTTAGCAGCCATCCTAATTGCACCTCTTAAGTGGACCTGTCCTTCACACGGTTTTCAAACCATGGGTTTAGCTTTAAAACCCCGAAAAACCCTTATTCTACACTATACTCGCTTGCTTTCTTTACTTTTTAACAGCACAACACTCATACAATTATACAACTTATCTAACCTGCGTGCCTGACGTGGAAAACTAATGTACCATCATAACAAAATATGGAATCATCACACAACGCAAATCGATTTACACGTTACAAGATCAGCGCGACTTGTGATGGTCTTAAGCAGATCGTAAACTAATAAACGATTTTCCCGGAAGACAATATGGATTGAACGTTGCTTGAACACAACGGAGTTAACATTAATAGTGTTTTGTTTCTATGATTCTCGTATAACGTGTCTCATGCTGCAATGATGCGACGCTGATTATTCTCGTATAACATGTCTCGTGCTCCAATGATGCGACACTGATTATTCTCTTACAACGTGTCTCGCGCTGCAATGATGTGACGCTGATTATTCTCGTAAAACGTGTCTCTTGCTCCAATGATTATCCTTTATTCTCTTATAACGGGCACTGCAATAATTCACCCCCGTAGCTCTGGTCTAGCCTCTTGCCTGAGTTTGCTGAAATACTTTGCAGCTTCTCAGACAGTGGAGGTCTGTGGCTTCTACCCCAGCATTAGACGTGTAATCTCCAATTAAGATATTCATTGAGGCTTTAATTTCAGATGGTATCTAATTTGCGCTTTACGAGAACTCCTCTTGAAGATAACGCGCCCCCGCTTTGCATTAACTGAATTATTAAGATTTTGTTCACTGCATCTCGATTCGTTTATCTAAATAAACCAGGATTGAATTAAATGTTAAACTTCGATGTGATTCTATAGGACACTAACTTGAAGAATTTAATTTGGAGCTGAAGTAAGTTCAAGCCTTGTGACGTGGCAGCCAGAAAACTTTGTGTCCGACCAAGAATGCTTTCAGCTTAAATTAAATGGCGGGTCAGAGAGGGAACGAGACGCTAGTGTTTCATAGTAGTGGTCCGAAAAGCCCACCTCCTGGCGCCCACGGAGCCAGAGCGGGTACAGGAAGCTCTTCCAATGATGGGCAGCCGTTACAAACAAGAAGCGATTTCCGTTCCAAACTGCAAGCAATGCCACTAGGAAATCGTTAACTACTAGGATTCCCTTCAACCATTAGGACCTCGCTAATTCGTCGTTGAATGGTTTAGTTAAAAGCCAGAACAGAACAGTGGCAAGGCTCTTTATGACATAATCGTTGGGCTCGCCATCGTAGTGATATGAACTAAAAATAGTATTTACGTTCAATTACTTCAGTATAAAGCATAAAAAATCGTTAAAGTTTCAAATAAATAATTCATGTTTTCAATTTATTACAGTGAAGATTTATCGTAGATTATTGATATGATTTAAATTTCGCCAAATTTCCGTCAAATGAATAATTTTACACAATTACTTCATACATGCTCCTAATTAAAGGAAGCTTCCAACGATTATATTTTTATTTGAAGTAAATCTATCGCTACCGATGTTGTCTACATATAAAATATAGCAGATAACTTTCTCAATGCAAGCATCGATAACACACGCCAACATTTAATAATTTCCGTTTAGCCTTGAATAATTCGTGCACATTATTACCTTGCTTCGTCAAGCTATTATTCATTTCTATTTTTCTTATTTTGGCAGCATGTTCTTGAAAAGATAACGCGGCAGCTCAAGAGTGATCGTCAAACTTGACTGCAATATCTGGCCACGCTCTGGTGGCATGGCAAATGATAGGCGGCGCGTCTGTACTCAGCCAAATGAAAGTGTCATAACGTCTGAATACATTCATACTCAAGCACGGGCAGAGAGTGGACCGAGCACTGATATGTCTTATTACAGAACCAAACCGGGACAAAATAGCCTATACACAAGTGCAAACAGTGTATTTATATTTGTACAAAGTCCCACACATTACTCTCACTGCGATGTTTGTTGGGCAAGATGGACGGCATGCATTGGTCGTGAGGAGACGCTTGTTCTCGATGCTTGTTTCGTTTCTTTTGCGTGTCTTCAAAATCAGATATTAAAAGTAAATAATTATTATTAACTGAGAAGTATTTTTTGAACTCTAAAAATTCAATGGAAACCTTGTAAATTTTTAGTAGTCGTGGTTCCAGAAGACAAGCTTGAATCGAGAACAATGATATTATTGACTTTTCCTTAAATGTCGCCAAAATTTGATAACTTAACCCAATCTAAATCTCGTATTCCTTTGAACTAGAAACTGGACGACTTGAAATGAGTCGTTAAGGTTTAATGGCATTTTGTTGATATACTCGTATAATAAAATTGTTTCATAAAATTACTCTTTAATTGGTAAATAGGAGTAATTAACCGTATTACCGCTGAATTTATGGGACAATTACGTCTCATAAATTCGGCAGATTGCCGAATGAGGTCAAACTGCTGATTGCTGGCGTCAGTCCAATAAATTTTCGAGTGTTTGTGCAGGGATATCGAAGGCCGCACGCGTCACTGTCAACCGCGTAAACCCCGATATTTATTTAATGATATGGTAAGAATAGCATTCGAACTAATGAATCGGATGCTAATCTTAGCAGGCAAATGTTAGAAACAATTTTGCTCAAAGCTATGAGTATTTTTTATGGCAAAGTTTTTCTTGGCAATTGATGTTCTTCATTTGCATTGTTTAATTCAGCACGATATTTGCTAAATTGCCTTGAGTAGCAGAAGACGTAGAACGCATTGATTAGGCGGTGCGGTAATATTGGCCAGTAAATAGTTAATCAAAATTGTTTGATAATCAGTATATTGAAACAAATAGGAGAGACAGAAATCTTAAATAAAAAATGTCTAATAAAAATCTTTGATTAGGAAAACGAATCAATTTGCAAGAATCTCAGTCAGTCAATAGCTGTCAACAATTTGATGTTGCAATTCCAATAGATGGAAATTTTTTCATAAAGTTGGATATTAAGTTACTAATCGAGGAGCTAGGGATGCCCTAATGCAAGAAAATAAGAAGAAGTTTCTTCATGTAGAAATCTATTCATTTAGAACTTGTACCTGACTAGCGTTCTTGGGACTGCATAAGAACTTTGAACAATTTGTAAGAGGAGCTCGGTTGGCTTCGCAATGCCGGGAGGTACAAAGTTTCACTGTGAGTTTCAAGAAAGTTGTTGTAGTTGCAGCTTATCCAAAGGGTTCAACTTGCCAAGGTAATTTCCCTTAAGGCTTCTTCTCCTACACATTCTAAATTATACGTATAATTACATAGCGAATTAACTTGCATTTTGCGTTGAACCTTGATTTTTTTGTTTTTCATGAATGTTGTGGCAAGCAAGAGCCCTGGTGAAATTTAATAATTTAAAAAATAAAATGTGCATGCTGCAACTACATGATTGATTTCACTATAATATGAATGTTTAAAGTTAAGCAGGAATGTACGTCATTATTTCCAAAGATTAGCACACAACACTGTGTTTTTTCTTCTTAGTAGCACCATTTTCTTATGTACCACTTCTTAACACCCCCTCTGACACTATTGTTTCATATAATATGTTCATTTTCTCACTTCACCATACACTAGCTGATCTAATTTGGGATTTTGCTTCGCAACGCAGAAAGTTTTTGGCTCATTAGAACATCAAACTGCATTATAAATAATCTAAAAATAAATACCCATCACCAGCGCCTCTTCTATAGTTTGTTCATCACTCTCTGAGCCATCAAAAAATTCTTCATTGAGCGGATCGATGGGAAAGATGTTGCGCCGACATAGTTGCGCTCGCTTCACTAGCTTGTCGTCTACTACGCATAAAATTGTTGCTATAAAAGAAATATTATCAGTGAAGACTTCGTTATCAGGGATGAGTGTGAGGAAGGTGTTAACAATTTAGCTTCTGGGCTGATAAGGATTATGGAACTGATAAGAATTAGAGCGCGCAACTCACGTAAATACACAGCCGATCGCTAGCGAAGAATTCCGGCAGAATTATGACGAATGTTTGTTAACTAAAATTAATAATGGTATGCTATGTGGAAAACGTAATGGCGTGACTGAGCCCTCATGGTTCATGAAGGAAATAAAACAAATTCTGGTTTCATTCATGGTTCATGAATGAAATCAGAATGAATGGCATGCTTGTATACCCTACAATTAACGTACAATGATGTCGGCATTTTAGAAGACTGTATTATTGGAGCACGTTATTTAATTATGGACGCTTCGTATATTACTGCAATTGCATAATATATAAATGCTAATGCATAACTGCTTTTCTAATGTATTTTAAATTAGTATGTCGTTTGTTTTTTTCACTCAGATTTTTGTAAAATTTGAAAATCTTGAGCAGCGATAAGTCCTTAAATAATTCGCTTGGAATATATATCTTGAGTTGAGGTCATCAACGTCGGCAGCGT